CTTGTCTTCTGCTAGGATTTGAGTTTTTTTGATCTTGCTCCTCTAGCTCTTTCAATTTTGATGATAGGGTGTCAATTATGGATCTCTCCACTCTTCCCATTTGGGCACTTATTGCTATATATTTTCCTCTGGAGACTGCTTTAAATGAGTCCCAGAGATTCTGGTATGTTTGTCTTCATTCTCATTGGTTTCGAAGAACTTCTTTATTTCTGCCTTCATTTCATTGTTTATCCAGTCAACATTCAAGAGCCAGTTGTTCAGTTTCCATGAAGCTGTGCGGTTCTGAGTTAGTTTCTTAATTCTTAGTTCTAACTTGATTGCACTTTGGTCTGAGAGACTGTTTGTTATTATGTCAGTTGCTTTGCATTTGCTGAGGAGTGCTTTACTTCCAATTATGTGGTCAATTTTAGACTAGGTGTGATGTGGTGCTGAGATGTATGTATATTCTGTGGATCTGGGGTGGAGAGTTCTGTAAATGTCTATCAGGTTTTCTTGTTCCAGGTCTGAATTCAAGTCCTAGATTTCCTTGTTAATTTTCTGTCTGGTTGATCTGTCTAATATTGACAGTGGAGTGTTAAAGTCTCCCATTATTATTGTGTGGGAGTCTAAGTCTCTTTGTAGATTGTTAAGAACTTGCCTTATATATCTGGGTGCTCCTGTATTGGGTCCATATATATTTAGGATCATTAGCTCTTCTTGTTGTATCGATCCTTTGACCATTATGTAATGACCTTCTTTGTCTCTTTTGATCTTTGTTGCTTTAAAGTCTATTTTATCAGAGATGAGAATTGCAACTCCTGCTTTTTTTTTGCTCTCCATTTGCTTGGTAAATCTTCCTCCATTCCTTTATTTTGAGCCTTTGTGTATCCTTGTGTGTGAGATGGGTTTCCTGGATACAGCACACTGCTGGGTTTTGGCTTTTTATCCAATTTGCCAGTCTGTGTCTTTTGATTGATGCATTTAGCCCTTTTACATTTAGGGTTAATATTGTTATGTGTGAATTTGATACTGCCATTTGTTGCTTGCTGGCTGTTTTGCCCGTTAGTTGGTGCGGATTATTCTTTTTTTTGATGCTCTTTAGCATTTGGTATGTTTTTGGAATGGCTGGTACCGGTTGTTCCTTTCTATGTGTAGTGCCTCTTTCAGGAGCTCTTGTAAAGCAGGGCTGGTGGTGACAAAATCTCTGAGTACTTGCTTGTTGGCAAAGGATTTTATTTTTCCTTCACTTATGAAGCTCAGTTTGGCTGGATATGAAATTCTGGGTTGAAAGTTCTTTTCTTTAAGGATGTTGAATATTGGCCCCCACTCTCTCCTTGCTTGTAGAGTTTCTGCCAAGAGATCTGCTGGGCTTCCCTTGGTGGGTGACCCGATCTTTTTCTCTGGCTGCCCTTAGTATTTTCTCCTTCATTTCAACCCTGTTGAATCTGATGATTATGTGCCTTGGGGTTGCTCTTCTTGCAGAATATCTTTGTGGTGTTCTCTGTATTTCCTGGACATGAATATTGGCCTGCCTTGCTAGGTTGGGGAAGTTTTCCTGGATAATATCCTGAAGAGTATTTTCCAGCTTTAATTCATTCTCTTCATCACATTCTGGTACACCTATCAAATGTAGGTTAGGTCTCTTCACATAATCCCACATTTCTTGGAGACTTTGTTCATTCCTTTTTGCTCTTTTTTTCTCTGATCCTGGTTTCTCGTTTTATTTCATTGAGTTGATCTTCGACTTCTGATATTCTTTCTTCTGCTTGGTCAATTCGGCTGTTGAAGCTTGTGCATGCTTCTCGAAGTTCTCATGTTGTGTTTTTCAGCTCCTTCAATTCGTTTATATTCCTCTCTAAGTTGTCCATTCTTGTTATCATTTCCTCGAATCTTTTTTCAAGGTTCTTAGTTTCTTTGCATTGATTTAGAACATGTTCTTTTAGCTCACGGAAGTTTCTCATTATCCACCTTCTGAATTCTGATTCCGTCATTTCATCACCCTCCTTCTCCATCCAGCTTTGTTCCCTTGCTGGCAAGGAGTTTTGGTCCTTTGTAGGAGGCGAGGTGTTTTGGTTTCGGGTGTTTTCCTCCTTTTTGCGCTGGTTTCTTCCCATCTTTGTGGGTTTATCCTCCTGTGGTCTGAGTAATTGCTGACTTTTCGGTTGGTTCTCTGAGTGGACGCCCAGATTGTTGATAGTGAAGTATTTCTGTTGCTTAGTTTTCCTTCTAACAGTCTAACCCCTCTGCTGTACGACTGCTGAGGTCCACTCCAGGCCCTGCTTTTCTGGGGTACACCTGTAGCAGCTGCGGAACAGTGAGGGGTGCTACCAGTTTCTTCTGCTGCTATCTTTGTCCCAGAATGATTCCCACCAAATGTCAGTCTGATCAGTCCTTTTTGAGGTGACTCTTTGGATATTCAGGGGTCAGGGAGCTGCTTGAGGAGACGGTCTGTACTTTATAGAAGCTCGAGTGCTGAGCTGTGAGCTCCGTTGTTCATTGAGTACTGTTCAGCAGATACTTTTAAGTCTGCTGCAGCAGAACTCATAAAACCCTTTTTTTTCCCCCTCAGATGTTCTGTCTCAGGGCATTAGGGCTTTCTTTATGAGTATTCATTGCACTTTCCTGCCCAGCTAGGGGGCAGTCTAGTCACTGTTTGCCTGCTGAGGCTCCGCCCTGTTGGTGTTGGCTCCGCCCTACTGTGGTGGGCTCTGCTCTGTTGCCTTGGACTTTGCCCTGTTGCTGAGGGCTCCACCCTGCTGTCCTGTAGCCTATGTATTGGCGGAGTCTCTCTGTTATGGTGGGTTGCCTCGGCAACAGCAGGCTGCTACAGCAATGGGAGTATTCATCCATAGGGGCAGATTGCCTTGGCAATGGGGGACGCCCCTCCCCCACCAAGCTACGCCGACCTGGGCTCAGTTGCGTCTGCAGTGAAACTCTCAACCCCGGAATCGCTGCCCTGCCTGTCCCTGTGGGGGTGGGACCTGCCGAGCCTGGTCACCTGGCTCGCCGCCTCAGAGCCCCTCTTTTTCCCTTTCCTAAGTTGGAAGGTTGACTCTTTCCCAGGTATTTCAGTCACCCACTGATTGGGGGCTGGGATCCATACGATTTCCCATGCAGCAACCCACTGTGCTGGCTCAAATGTTGCCTCCCGGGAATCTCCTGGTCTGGGTCACTGTCCAAGTCCCGTTCAATCAGATGGATATGCTAATCTGCCCTCCCAAATCTCAGATTGCCGGTTTAACAGGGCATCCAGACCAGTGCGCCTTGTGCGGAGTGCCGCTGCGCTGCTGCCACAACGGCCCTGTGGGCCAAAACAGCCGCTGCGTCACTCCGTGTCTCTCCTCCACCTGGGAATCCCCCCGTTCTGTGGGCAACAAAGATCCGTCTGAAAATGCGGCTTGAACTCACCCTCTGAGCCTTCACTGAGAGTAGCAACCCCGAGCTGCTGCAACCCGGAGCTGCTCCTTCCCCACCATCTTGAAGAGTCCGTCCTTTTTTTTTTTTTTTAAGAATGTGCACAATTTAAAGTCAACCCATGTCTTTTATTAAAATTAAAACTCACTATCATAAGGAGAACAAACAAGTAATACACAGTGCAGTAATAGATGCTTAAAAGGAAGCTCTGCATTCAGTTGCCTCAGCTCTCAGGAGAGGTTTCTCTAGTCGGCTCAGGGAAATAGAATGTTTTTATGGAGAAATATCTGCCTGGCCTTTAGAACTCCCCAAAAGCCTAACTGGGATCTTCATTCGCTCTATGGGACAGTCGAGGGAGGTGGCAGGGTTTCAGAAGGGCTCAGACCTAACACCCCAAACCCACACCTAATATCGTGTTTCCCTGGGGTCTCTGACCTGCAGGTAGATGAGCAGACTATATTCAAACCAAAATATTTCACTGGATTCAAAATATCATTCCTAAGGTGACACTAGATCCCTTCCAGAGAGGGCGGTGGGGGTAAGAAAACACGCATTTATTATCAATATATGTTCTCCTTTGTGACAAGCTTATTTTCAGCTTGATGGGTCTGTAATTTATTTGCAAGGCTAAAACAAATTGATATTAACTCATATCCAGCCTCTGAATATTCACAGTGTTAGCTTGTAACTTTAAATAGTGTGGATAATTCATTGTGGAGTCTCAAAATGAATGACATAAATTATATTTTAATTAACTGAGATCATATAAGGATAACTTCAATCTTAAATTTGAGAAACTCAGGTAAACAATTATAACTTAATTGCATTAACCTCCCCTTGAACATATATTCAGTAGAGGTATGCTCACTGGCAGGTTAGAGAACCAGTTGCTTTTAAGGTAAGGAACTTTTCAATAAGAGCACAGTGTTTTCTAAATTGTTGATTTCTCTCATTTTTCACTGGGAGGTGGAGTTACACAATAGGGGTTGGTAGTTAAGAATGCACTGGCCGGGTGTGATGGCTCATGCCTGTAATCCCAGCACTTTGGGAGGCCGAGGCAGGTGGATCACCTGAGGCAGGAGCTTAAGACCAACCTGGTGAACATGGCGAAACCCCATCTCTACTAAAAAATAAAAAAATTAGCTGGGCGTGGTGGCAGGCACCTGTAATCCCAGCTACTCGGGAGGCTGAGGCAGGAGAATTGCTTGAGTATGGGAGGTGGAAGTTGCAGTGAGCCAAGATCGTGCCACTGTACTCCAGCCTGGGCACAAGAGCAAGACTCCATTGTAGAAAAAAAAAAGAGCACAGCCTCTAGAGCTCGTGTTCATCTTCCAGTTCTATGGCTTCCATGCAGGTGTCTTTGGGAATGTTGTTTAACCTGACTGTGCCTCAGTTTCCTCATCCTGTAAAACAGAGCCAGTGTCAGGGCCCACCTTGCAGAGTTGTTGTGAAGGTTAGATAAGCTAATGCCTGTCACTTCCTGACACATTGTAAGCACGTTAAGTAGATGTTCATAGTTAGTAGTAGCTGTTCTTAGAAACGTTATCAGTTTGTAGAACAGGAGCTCTGTGTTCCCTGGTTGAATTCTCTTCTCTCCCTTCCGACAGAAAAATGGCAAATGCACGACAGCGGCCTCCTGAACATCACGAAGGTATCCTTCTCAGACCGAGGTAAATATACATGTGTGGCTTCAAACATCTATGGCACAGTGAACAACACGGTGACCCTGCGCGTCATCTTCACCTCCGGAGACATGGGCGTCTACTACATGGTTGTATGTCTGGTGGCCTTCACCATCGTCATGGTCCTCAACATCACCCGCCTGTGCATGATGAGCAGCCACCTGAAGAAGACTGAGAAGGCCATCAATGAGTTCTTTAGGACAGAAGGTGCAGAGAAGCTGCAGAAGGCCTTTGAGATCGCCAAGCGCATCCCCATCATCACTTCCGCCAAAACTCTCGAGCTTGCCAAAGTCACCCAGTTCAAAACCATGGAGTTCGCCCGCTACATCGAAGAGCTTGCGAGGAGTGTGCCTCTGCCACCTCTCATCATGAACTGCAGGACAATCATGGAGGAGATTATGGAGGTAGTTGGGCTGGAGGAGCAGGGGCAGAATTTTGTGAGGCATACTCCAGAGGGCCAGGAGGCCGCAGACAGGGATGAGGTCTACACAATCCCCAACTCTCTGAAGCGGAGCGACTCCCCCGCTGCCGACTCGGACGCCTCCTCGCTGCACGAGCAACCTCAGCAAATTGCCATCAAGGTGTCAGTTCACCCGCAGTCCAAAAAAGAGCATGCAGACGACCAAGAGGGTAGACAGTTTGAAGTCAAAGATGTAGAGGAGACAGAACTGTCGGCTGAACATTCCCCCGAAACTGCAGAGCCTTCTACCGATGTCACGTCCACTGAGCTAACATCGGAAGAGCCCACACCTGTTGAGGTATCAGATAAGGGACTGCCGCCAGCTTACCTGGAAGCCACAGAGCCTGCAGTGACACATGACAAAAACACCTGCATTATTTATGAAAGCCATGTCTAATACCAACCCCGAAAAGCTATGCATATCCAGAAAATCAGGGGCTGCTCCTTGTAATACAGATGTAGTACGCACTTGCCGCTAAGCCTTACCAGGAGACTCTCATCCCTTAGCTAGGAGTGAGGCCACTTTGAAAGGGGAAGCACCTGCCTGCTATGAATGGGACTGGCATTTCCCCAGTAGAAAAGGATGCAAGAAACATCAGGGTGCAGAACTGAGATCAGACAGAAGGTGCCTGTCTGTGTGATAGTTTCAGAGGCTGATCTCTGCCAAATACCTTAATTGGTGATGCCTTCTTGGCAAAGAGTCCACCACTGTAAGATATTCTGAGTTCAAGAACCCTGTCCAATGCACACTGCATTGCTTTTCCTTTTAACAAGTATAGGTCTGCTACAATAGCAAATGCACGTACGTGGGTTTTTTGCACTTTCTTCTCAGTTTTATTTACTTTGGCTGTTCCTTTTTAATGGAGTCCCTGTGATTGATTCTAATTGCTCTTTCTGGGTTAGTCCTCGTTGCCATGTTTGTCCTTATTTTTCCCTAGAACACGTACCTCAGAGACTTTGGTGTCAGTCACCAGTACCAGGGCTGATATCTACAAGTCACATTATATTTGTCATGTTCCAAAGTAGTTACGAGGGGTTTTTTTTTTTCGTTCCCCAGGCCTATTTTTATAGATTGCTTTTTTTGTTCATTTCTAATGAAGCTGCTGTTGTGAAACTGAGAAAAACTTTGCCCCGGAATAGCACTTTAATAGTCAAAAACTGTGTCTACCTGTCTGATTCAGAGAGCCTTTTGGTGAGCTCAGCTGAGCTGTGGAGGGAAACAGGAAAAGGTTAAATATACCCACACCACCCATGAAAATCACCATTTAAGTTACATCATCCTCCACACAAAGACTGATTCTTTACCTGGAAAATGTATTGCTTCCAAAGACAGAGGAGCCGATGAATTCCCGTGGGTTGTAGAATACCGGGTTCCAAACAGGCTTGCAGGGCCTCGTGCTGGTGCGTGACTCGGACACTTGCTTTTGCAGTCCTAGAACCAGCTCCGCCTTTGTGAGCTGCATAGCTGACTTGGCTGTCCTTAAAGGGGAGAGGGAAAGGTTCGGGTAATAGCAAAGGGAACTGTGCCATCAAGTTTCACGCCAAAATCATTCAATACTTATTCAGTCCTGCAAGAGAGTAGTTATATGTGAGGTGCATGATGTTATGGAAAGAAGAAAACTTTAGTCAGTCAAAGGCTTAATACCTTCCCCAACTGTGCCAATATCCAGCTGCCTGGCTTTGGGCAAGTCTGGGCTTCAGGTCCCTTATCTGTAGAAGGGGCCGAGGAGATGAACTCTGAGCACCATTGAAATGGTCTCACTCTGTTACAGAACCAAGCTAATCCTCGCTCCTTTTCACAATCACGTTGAAGACTTTTGCTTTGATCTCTCGGTCCACCTAATATTTTCACGCTTTATTACTTAAATGAGATTGTTGGTTTTGAGAAATTGTAGCATTTTAAACAAATTGTGGATCTTCTCCTTCCAAAAAAGTCATTAGGACCACATCTGCAATTGAGAATTAATGTTGGTGAGAATGAGTCATGTTATTTCATTTTTTCTGATATGCAAAGGAGACCGTAACCTTAAACTCATAAGGGCCTTAGCAAGCCACATCAAGTGGTGGGGTTATGATGTCTAAGATTGCATGGGCCACACTGGTGTGAGAGCAGACCCAGATGTTTACTCCTCACCCTGTTGCCGTCTGGACAACTCCCTTCTCTGGGGTTTAATCTTTTTCATCTGTAAATATGCAGGTAGCACTCAAGAGTCTACAGGATCCCTTCTAGTTCAAACATGTATAGTTTTACAGAAAGTTTGCAATCTTCCAGGATAACCAACCCCCACTGCATGAGAGAAGCAAAAATGGGTCCATGAAGTTGGATGCTTTTGCCATCCCGGCTTTACAACAAACCTAATCTGGCTCTGTAATGGAGGGAAGTGGGCTTGGCTTTAAACCTAGCCTTGATTTGTTGATTTATATATTAACTGTTGTGGAAGCCGATAGGACCTAGTCATGGAGTTTGATCAGGCATCTCTTGGAAAGGACTGAATTGTTGACTTCTAGATAGAAGTGCTTTGGGTGGTCACATAAAGAAATGAGTAGGAAGAAATTCGGAGAAATCATGACTCCTGTTCGGGCTCTCTGGACTAGCATTGTATGTTTAGGGGTTGCAGAAAAGAGCTCCAGCTCTTAGAATATAAAAATTTTCCAATTGTCATGAAGGTCCACAGATTCTTTACCATGGGTTTATGTGCCCAAAGCAATCACAGAGGACTCGAGTTCATTTTGTGATATGGTATGAATGTTACTCCGTTCTATTCAGTTCTCATTCCACCCAAACTCATGTGCAGGTTTCCACATGGAAGCAACAGGAGAAGGCATCCATTCCACCTAGACATTGAATAGTGATAAGAAGCTGAAAGTGGGCAGATTTTTAGTGGAGCAAGAGCAGACAGACGCAGCCAAAGAATGTTTCCCAATTGGTTTTGCTGATTTAGACTGCAGTGGGGAGAGAGTATATAGATTTTCAAAACTTTCTCCCTCTTTAAGGCATCAGAATGCTCTCGATTTTGATAATAGCCGACATAAAGGGAGGTTGACTGAAAACAGGAATTTTTCTTTCCAAAAATGCTACACTCTTCCTATCTATCTCGCAGCTTCTTTATGAAATAAGCGAGGCCCTCTTGCTAGAATATGAAATGCAGAAGACCTCGTGACTTTTAGCTGATTTTTCAAAGATAAAGTGAACTGTTCAGCTTCATAGAAATTCATGTATGTGACTGAATGTGTGTGTGTACACACTCGTGCACATTGGACTCATTTGGGCAGTTTTAAAAGCTTGACACTTAAATCCAAAGCCTCATCCTTTGGGTCTGATGTAGTCATTCTTAAAATCCATTTCTGGCTTCTGAGTCATCCTGGTCATATCTCTAGCAATGTTTTTCTTGAAATTCTGAAAATGATTCGCATATGTGTATATTTAATTCACTTAGATGATCTGTAACTTGGATGGTATTTATTCTAAATGGGAAAACCAATTTTATATGCAAAATCTATGTAATTTATATGGTTTTGTTTTATATATTATATTTTCATATCTTTAGGGCACATCTATCCTCATCTTTTTGTATACCATACTTAGCAAAAAGAAATACTAATACTTGACTAAAATCTCTAGGAACCAAATGTGATACATGTGATATATAACATACAGAAATCACTCTAACAATCTCTGAATGTCTTATCCATCCCAGCATTACTGTGCCGTGTCATTATGTCCAGAATGATTTGTCTTGGATGCTTATGAGCATTCCTTTTTCACTACTAAGGCTGAAAGACCTGACATCTCACGCAGTGGGGTTCTGGAATTCCCTTTCCCCCTTTATCTGTTTTCAGTGTTTGTTTCATTTTTAATTGCACAAGTCTCTGTTGTCTAACCTTTGTTCAGAAGGGCAAATATGAGATAACAAGAAAGCAATGTGTTAGACTGGATGAATTTATGGCTGTGTAAGTTACTTTAACAATTGACAAGATGTTTTAAGTCTAATGCTTGGATCTTTACTTACTGGTGATCTAGGATCACTCAGCTCTTTAGCACATGAAGAAAATGTCAGGTACAAGGGACATTTACATGTTTTGAACAGCACGCTCTGAGCCCAGTGCGGTTAACACAAATTGGCTTGACTGTAGAAACGCCGCTTCCAGCTGCTGGAAGAAATGGTTTAGAAAGGCAAACCAGATACCTTTTTATTCTGCCCTAGGAAATACAGTGTTGATCAGTGCTAAAACTCTTTAAGTGGCGCTCCCTATGGTTCTTTTAACTGGGGATTTCCTTTCAGTGTTTCCTCTGGTACCAACATGGAGCATTTACCTTGTAGTTCAGATACTGTGTTTCCCAGCGTTGTTCAGATACTTTGCTTTACCTCTGTTCGCATATCCTTTTGGCAGTCACTTCAGTAATTCTGTAAGTGTTTCTATTCTTGGTTTTTAAATCAAGTTACTAGTACTCTTTAAATACCTACCAAGTCTCATTGTATATTCACATTCATATTTTGAGCATCACGATTTTGGTCATTTAAAAAAAAGCCTTCAGTAGATAACACAGTTTATTTTCCTAATGATTTTTTTGGGGTTCCTCACTGATCAACCAGGTTTGGGTTAACGAATCAATTGCGGGGGGTGGAATCAAATAAAACAATAGCTTATTGCATTTTCCAAAAGATTTTGGAAAATGCATTTATCTTTTATCTTTTCTTCAAGAAGATATCATAGGATGATAATCTTTAACAGATTTTTTAGAGATGGAATTTATAAAGAGTTAATACTAAGAATACCACAATCAAAATTGAAGCTAGAGAATGTAAAAATAGGAAGTAAATAGTTCTAAGAATATTCTGGCATAAATTATTTTTATTTAGCCGTTAATAGAAACCTCCAAATGTATATCTCAGACACCATAGAGCTGCTAACAGTGAGAGTCAAGAAGATGCTTTAGATTTTGTTTGTTGTATTTCAGTAGTTCTGGATGTCCTTTGTTAAAATTGGAAAATGGAACAATGTCTTTAGACAGAAATGTCCATCTGGTGATTCTGTGAACTATAAAATGTTCACTTTTTAAAAATAAAGATGTAAACAAATGATTCATATATAAGTTGATATAACAGTAGCAAAAACAAAACCATGTGATCCATCCTGTATTTTGATTGATGCTTTAATAAAGGGTTTGCACAGGTGTGTGGAATGTGTGTCGTGTCCCACCGGATGGGTGGTGACTGTGGCTTGACTCATTGCTTCCCGTGGTATAAAACCTGCAGTTGGTTCTTACCCCTGCCCTTTGCATCTGCAGCATTTCTTGGGAAAAGAGAAAAAATGAAGTAATTTATATGTAAAACCTGCATAATTTTGTCCCACTACAGAAGCTTAACTCTGTCCTGACAGATTTTATAGTAATCGATTTTAATCATATCAAGAAATAATTTTTAGCACATCACACCGAGCTTGCTTTAGAGAATCCAATAAAGAAGCTCACATCCCTAAAGCATTCCATAGGGAGAAGGCATCAGTAGCAGAATGCCACAAACAGCTAGACAACACCAAATCCAAGAACATGCTAAGTAGGTTTCTCCCCCTGCCCGCCCCGCCATCATCCAGGCTGGAGTGCAATGGCGCAATCTTGGCTCACTGCAGCCTCCACCTCCCAGGTTGAAACGATTCTCCTGCCTCAGCCTCCAGAGTAGCTGGGATTACAGGTGCCCACCACCATGCCCGGCTACTTTCTGTATTTTTAGTTGATATAGGGTTTCGCCATGTTGGCCAGGCTGGTCTCAAAACTCCTGACCTCATGATCCGCCCGCCTCGGCCTCCCCAAGTGCTGGGATTACAGGTGTGATGTTTCTTTGACAATCAGTAAACAGCAAAAACCAAATTCCTCTTGGATGAGATGATTTTGTGGAGTATATATAAGTGAACCAAGAAAGGAGACTACCAAATGGAGAGTGACAAAAGAAAAGGGCGGCAAATCAGTGTTGTACTGCAGGGTGAACCAAACAGGCAAACAAAACAGCGGGGTGAGTTATCCAGAATTTCTGCTTGCAGCCATCCACAGGTTTGCTCTATTTAAAAAAAAATGATTTAAGCTGAGCATGGTGGCTCACGCCTGTAATCCCAGCACTTTGGGAGGCTGAGGCGGGTGGATAACTTGAGGTCAGGAGTTCAAGACTCAGCTGGCAAACATGATGAAACCCCATCTCTACTAAAAATACAAAAATTAGCCAAGTGTGGTGGCACATACCTATAATCCCAGCTACTTGGGAGGCTGAGGCAGGAGAATTGCTTGAACCCGGGAGGCAGAGGTTGCAGTGAGCAGAGATCACGCCAGTGCACTGGAGCCTGGGTGACAGAGCAAGACTCCATCTCAAAAAGAAAAAAAATTTTTTTAAAAAAGATTTTAGCAAATTACTCAGGTATAAATGGGAAAATTAACCATGTGTCATCACAAAAGAGAAAGTAGGAAACTTTTGTCCTAACTGGGAAATTCTGGCTGATCCCTGTTGTCAAGACCAGATCAAACAGCTGCTACTTTTTTTTCAGGTTTTGGAATGCCGTGTTCTGCCTGGCCTTCATAGTAAGGCTTAACATTAACAAATGATTTTCAAAGAAGCATATAGTCGCAGAGTTGGAAAATACGTGTGAGGGTATCTGATTGATTTCAAGATTTATATTATACAAATCTTTTCTGCAGTATCCCTGGCAAGTAGTAGTTCAGCTCTGTTTGAAAATCTCTGAGACAAAGGGGGAGTTCATGATCTCATTATATCATGTTCTGTTGTTAGGTTTCAAATGCTGAGTCAAGAATCCTAATAAAGGCACCCCACCAGTCCTTACGGAGCCATGTGGAGCTGGAAACATGAGTTAGTCCCGGTACAATAAAATCATTTTTACTGTCAAGACAAAACTAAAATTATATGAAAGAGAAGACTACAAAAACAGATTGGATGTGCCTGATACTACTACATTAGCTATATGGCATGTGGTTAACCCCCTTTTGAGTGAATGGTTTCTGCCAACAGGGATGTTGAAGACAGAATCGGTTACACCCCCCACCCCCTGAGATGCCATAAAGCTCCAGCTCCTTAAAGAGTTGTTCAATAACCAGGGAAGAAAATGAATTAACCAGCAGATTAATTGCCTCGGTTGCTTAGTATGTTTTTGAAGGACCATTAGAATTAACTTCCTGAAAGATGGATGGATGGATGGATGGAGTGGTATACTGAAGTATTTTTAAATAGCAATTGAATTAGATTTGGCACTAATTGCATTTACACTATTACATAAAATGAGGATACTAAGGGGAAAATAATTTTCCTAAGATATGAAGTAACAAATATTAAATAATTTTTAGAAATGAATGGAGGTTGGGTAATATGAATTTTTCAAAAAACAAATTTCTCACTACCAATATATTTTCTGCCTCTGGTCCAGTTCATTGAAAAAGGTGAATAGTTTTGGTGAGCCCTTGCAACTAACTAAACGAGTGGATTTTCTTACAATTGATTTGTGTTTTAAAGTTCATTATAGAATAGGAATCCCAGTGAACCATGCAAAAAATCACCTGGGCATAGAAATCCAACAAAATTAGGGGACTTTGTGCTGCTCAGCATAAATGCTGTACAGCGTCCTTTTCCTGAAAGTTTTCATGATTTAGATGAAGCTGATGTACATTGGAGACATCTTAAGTGATCAGTGTCTCTGATTTAAGTCAGATTTACCACTTAAATCTGATTGACTGTGTCTGCTGGTGCTGTAGACACTTGGTGAGGTTGATGAACAAAGTCCCAAAGTTCTAAGAGGATTCAGAATTCTGAAAACCACCAAAGTTTTGACAGAAAATGGAAAGAAAGATGTTTGTCTGAAGAGGGTCAAGTGATCCTGTGACAGCTGCATAGACTGCCCTCATTGTTAGCTGGTGTTTTCTATTCTCTTCCCTGCTGGCATTACCTCAGCTGTCGGACCAGCAGACCAACTTCTTCTGCATGATGTAAACGCTTGGTTATAAAATAGATTCCAGGAGAAAATTCATCTGCCATGTAGCAGGCCCTTTATCAGTTTAATGCTGGGTGTGTCTGAAATTATTTAAAACAAACCTTCCAAAAACTAGGACTCCGCATCATATTTATAGAAGTGTTTTCAGGCCGGGCGCAGTCGCTCAAGCCTGTAATCCCAGCACTTTGGGAGGCCGAGGTGGGTGGATCACGAGGTCAAGAGATCGAGACCAATCTGGTCAACATGGTGAAACCCCGTCTCTACTAAAAATACAAAAAATTAGCTGGGCATGGTGGCGCATGCCTGTAATCCCAGCTACTCAGGAGGCTGAGGCAGGAGAATTGCCTGAACCCAGGAGGCGGAGGTTGCTGTGAGCCGAGATCCGCCATTGCACTCCAGCCTGGGTAACAAGAGCAAAACTCCGTCTCAAAAAAAAAAAGAAATTTGATCTGTGATGATTGTTGAGAAAGAAAAAGAAAATTTTTAAATAAATCTGCAAGTGTTAAGACCTCAGAAAAATTAATTACATAGTCTACATTGTATTTATAGAGAAAATGGCAGTCAATAAGAGGAATCTGTGACTGTTAGATTGTTTAATGTGCAGAATAACTTTCTGTATCAATTCAGCCTCAATCATTTGGTTTCATAATAATAGTTGAGATATACTAATGATATTTCTGAACACTGTCAGGTCCTGAAAAAAAATCCAAATTTAAAAATAAATATTTTAGTATCATTATGACTATTTTGTTATCTTCTCTCATTCCATAATGAATTTGAGGTGATTGGATTAAACTACATTCTACTTTCTTTGAATCCTTTGAAATTGGTAATTGCTGTATTTCATACATGCTCACAAACTCCCGGTAACCTATTAGTGAAACATTTTACTCTCAATCATTTTGAATCAATGAGAAATTTATGGTATGATTATGAAAGCAGAGCAGCTGAGTGATCTATAAATGTTTCTTTATCTGAAGCTGAGAAAGGGAAGACTTTCTGCTAATATCTTGTTACGCTATGCTCGCAAATGGGGTGTGTGGTGGGAAAAAGACTGCAAGGACCCCTTAAAACATTTGACGCATTTCCTCCAACTTCTTACATATGGATTTGAATTGGCTTTTTAAGCCTTTTTGTTTATGAGATTTTTTTTTTTTAACAGTCTTGCTCTGTTGCCCATGCTGGCGTGCAGTGGCACAATCTTGGCTCACTGCAGCCTCTGCCCACCTGGTTCAAGTGATTCTCCTACCTCAGCCTCCTGAGTCACTGGGATTACAGGCACACGTCACATTAAACATTTACATTCACCTGCATAGAAAAAATCTAATATGGTCATGATTTTCCTGTGTGAGAGAAATCTAAAAAGGATGGCTATGCTTTTTGATACCTAATTTAGATTCAGTCCATTACCCAAACATTAAATTGTCTCACTCCAATATGTAGCAAAATGTGTGTGCTCACTGTGGGGGACTGAACCCTGACCACTGTTGTGAACACGTGTGTTTGCTTGTCTGTTGCGTGTCTAAATTTTATCTTTCTAAATACTCCAAGCCTGGGACATAGAGCAATTTTTTTTTTTTTTTTTTTTTTTTTTTTGAGATGAAGTCTTGCTCTGTCGCCCAGGCTGGAGTGCAGTGGCGCAATCTTGGCCCACTGCAACCTCCACCTCCCAGGTTCAAGCGATTCTCCTGCCTCAGTCTCCCAAGTAGCTGGGATTACAGGAACCCGCCACCATGCCCGGCGAATTTTTGTTTATTTTAGTAGAGACAGGGTTTCACCATATTGGCCAGGCTGGTCTCGAACTCCTGACCTCAGGCGATCTGCCCACCTCGGCCTCCCAAAGTGCTGGGGTTAGAGGTGTGTGCCACTGCACCCAGCCAGAACACGTATTTTTAAATTAGACTTTTCATTTTGAGATAATTGTAGATTTACATGTAAGAAACAGTACAGAGAAATCCTATGTATCCTCTACCCAGTTTCTCTCAGCAATAACACCTTGCAGAACTGTCATTACCAGGATATTGACATTATACAGCTTTCAACTCTGACTCAGATTTACCCAGTTTTACATGTACCTATTTGTGTGTGTGTGTGTGTGTGTGTGTGTGTGTGGATGTGTGTTTAGTTCTATACAATTTTATCGCATTGTGTGTTGTGTATCCTCCACCACAATCAGGATATAGAACAGTTCCATCACCACAAA